TTTTTGGTTCTATGTCAGATGAACCTTGAGCTTGAACTCTCGCTTTATATAATATGTAAAGAATTTACATTAATCGGTAGAAATGGCAAGAATCACTGATTTTCACTGACTCCGAGGAGCTGTGAAGCCAGGCAGGTAATGGTGTGGTCAGTTGAGTCATGAAAAAAATAAACCTCAGTTTAGCCATTGAGAATTATCATCACATGACTGGAAAACTGGCATAATGAAGTCATTATTCCCAGATGAACAGAAATTACAATATAAATAAATGATTATCTTGGGATTGAAGAGAATATTTATAAATCAAAACATTATTTCTGGTTTATGAGGGCATCGCAAACACAGATGATCTCTTTAGTAGGTGCTCAGCTGAAAGAAACTCATTAAGCGCAATATTTTTCACAGCACATACAAGTAGCTGCTTATTCACACCCAATTATTACTGTATGCAAAATATAGAGAATGGTAAATAACCCACTGGGTTACGCTAAAATTTGGATTAACATCACATGACTGGCTACTGAGCTGTTCCTGGTTCACTCATTGAGATGGTTTAATTTTCTTCTCCACACTCTCACTGTAAACATTCCACCATGCGACGATGCAAATAATTGTCTTGCAAATTTAAGTCTATTTACAGATCTGATAACATTCAAATAAATGTTTAAAATCCTAGGCAAGAGTTAAGGTTGATGCTTGAATGCATGTGCGCATATGGGTTTTCAACTATGCTGTGGATCATTCTGACACAATGTGAAGCCATGTGCCGTGAGCATCACCACCAATGCAGCTAAACCCCAATGCCTCAATGCATTATTGGTCACATTGGTCAAAAGAGCATTCTAACACCTGAGCCATCACCTTATGCATGATTTATGAGCCAGCATCTTGCTATTAGGTAGTTTCGTCACTCATTTGCAATCCCACTAACCACGATTGAGGCTACCTCACAGAAACACAAAGAGAGATCTCTATGAAAATTTACCACAAGGAAGGAAAATGTTGTATATCCCTGAGGCTTGGACACTTCTGCTTTAGGCAGTTAGAAAAATTAGATCACTATTTTGCAATACAGCTCTACTGTATTGACCAGTTGCTGATATACTGGTTGCGTTTCCATTTTTTTTTTCTTCTCACCATCTTTCCCTATCATCTCCTGAAATGTAGACTCTTTCTTGAGGTATGGTTTCAGCAAGTCAGCTCTTTATTTCTAATAATCTTATATTACCAGCCTCAACAATAATAGCTTTGTCCATGTCTATATTCAGGTTAAATTAATTTCTCCAATCATTACTGACTGACCTACTGCCCATTCCTTTTCTCCTTCTCAGAAATCGATCCCGATTGGTATTACAACTTAATTTATGTTTCTGGAGAAGGGAGAGAATAAGTGGCTGCATTATTTAGTTAAAAATAAATCTGCTGCCAATTCCAGATGGATTTTTTTGGAGAAAACAAGCCAATAACTCAATCATGCTCAGGTTGATTTCAAGGCAGGCCCATTTGTAAGCTGATTATTGTACTTCACTTAAATGCTGTCATCATAAATTTACAGAGCTTGGTTTCCTCTTTTGCATTAAACATCCATTTTCCTCTCAATAACTCTTTGAAATCCAGACTTGCCCAGGACTTGTGTGCTGGTTCGATATCTGGAGAGCTTCTTTTGACTACTGGACAGGATAAAAGAAAATGTTTGTCATATGATACTTCCCTTACTTCTGGCTTTCAACCTCTCACTTCCATCACAATCCTTTCTATCGCTCTCCGCTTTAAATACAGCACCACTGTAATCACTGCTCCTCCAACTGTTCCTCTCAAGCTTCAAGCATGTTCACCCACACAATCTTCCTCACCCCTTTGTTGCAATCCAAACTAATCAATCTCCTGTACATCATACTGTAAATCATTCTTTTCAGAGATGTTTTTTTGAGACCTCCGAACCATCTCAGTCTTTCCTCAATCATATAAATCTACAGGTATTTAAAAGCTCAGGCCTGAAGTCTCTTCTTGACTTTTAATTTCTCTAATTTCCATACTGATCTGTTGTCTTTCAGTTAGATTTGAAACTTGTAATTACTGCAGTGCAAACTGTACACATATACCTAGGCTTTCTTTGGGATCTAAAATATATTTTTACAAACAAACTCTAAAACTAATCGTTGAAACTTTCCAAGCCTTTATTTAACTGCCTTGCACTGTCGAGGTTTGGTGTAAGCCTGTGTTTGTTATACTTACTTACTGACTGTGCTTCTTTCCCCAGTAAATAGCCACAATTTAAAACTGCTCCAAATCAGTCTCCTCTGGATTTAGACATTTGGTTGGTTCAATTCTGGCTCAGTACATTATAGTTTAAAGTCCAACATTTAGACTCTAAGCCCACAATTAAGATTGTCTGAGGGTGACAGCCTTCAGATGATCTGTTAAAATAAAGTGTCTGTCTGCCTGATCAGGTGGATTTTAAAGATGATACTTTTCAGAAGAGAAGGGAGTCTCTGTAAAGTGTACTGAACGTGTACTAGTTGCAGTAAACCATGTGTATTTGCAGATGAATTTTCAACTGAAGGTTAAAAGCAATTCCGAAGAATTTTAAAACACCCCCAAATGAAAAACAAATAAGCCGCGTGATAGCACAGTTTCTAGGCCTTAACATTTGCCTAGAATGGACGTGACAGCCAGTTAATAGCATGGTTTTGAGGTTTACATCCTGTAGATGATGGGAGTGACGCTGGAGACGAGAGTCAGCTTTCTTGTGTCTCAGATAAAGCTTCTGTACTGTAGAAAGATTCAACACATTCACGACAAAAGGTACTGAACGGTCAAAACAAACTGCGGTTAAATGTACATAACATCAAAAAAAACTCAAGAAGAAGCACCATGCACCCATTGATAGATTTGATGATCGGGGGAAGATCCAGCTACACACAGGGTTACCAAACATTCGGAGCGAAGCTCTCAAACCCATTGAGTGTACACTACTGAAATGCAGCAACAAGCCGAGCCCATTGTAATGATACCAATATGTCAAACAAACAATGAGCACCGTGGAATAGCTGTCCTCCTCTGTGAACATCTTAAAGCAAAGCAAGGGAGGATGCGTGACAGAAGATTGTGAATTATTAGCAATGAGGGAAGAATAAATAAAAGTTATTTAATTTTCCAGACATGCAAATCTCCAAAGGGGTATCAATGTCTGGATGGTTCACTTGTCTTTAGGCAAGAGCAATTCTTGGCAATCTACTACTGACATGTACCAGATGAGGGGGGGGGGGGGAGGGAAGGCACTGACATAGTAATAATTGTAATAGGCGCTTCACATTGTTGACTTAAATGTTCCAATTTGCACAACTGTTTTTTTTAATCTGATCGATGCAACTGTTGATGCACTGTGATTGCACCATCACTGCACCCTCCTGAGTTAAGTCAGTAAACTGTCTCACAAACACAAAGCAGATCTGGTGTCAAGGCCCCAGTCAACAACAACAACAAGCATTTTCCTTTAAAAACAGGTGTGCTCTTCAATCCCATTGTGAGAGCCTGAATTGTACGAACAGAGTCCACGGAAGTTCATAAACATACATAGAGATCATACATACAAACCCACACTCAGCAAGTTGGATAATCTCATCTCCCAAGTTCAGCTGCACTGAGCTGGTAACCAGCAAAACAGGACCTTCAAATCGTTGCCTTTTGGGGAGAATGTGAGGATTCTGAAACACTTTAGGGCAATTTGCACACAAAATATAGACTCGAGCACATGGATTAGGGTTGAATTCGGTGCATTCATTTGTCACAGCAGTAAAGTGTACACCCTCCATTTTAATGAACAATTTGCCCAACCTGCCTCTTAAGTGATAACGAGCTGCTTTAATGGGATGTTACCTCTCTCTCTCTCTCTCTCTCTCTGTGTGTGTTCTTCTTCATTGACTCAAAACCAGAGCTGCTTCCTTAACCCGACCAGAAAGGTCTCCCTAATAAGGTTGCATTAAATCCCAGGGGGGGGGAAGTAACATCAGAAGAAAAGTGCTTCTCTATATTCCAGTGTGTGTAACACAGTGTGCAGTGCAATTATGTCTTTCAACACAAAATAGAGCAGAGAGAGATAGTGAGTGAGATATATACGCACACACCCATACACACACACACACACATATATATATATATATGGTTAAGGGTTAAAGGCAATGCATGGGTTTTAAAAACGTGTGTGTCATTTGGAGTCAGGGTGTGTGTGTGTGTGTGATGGGGTGCTGTGTGTGTGTGTGTGATGGGGTGCTGTGTGTGTGTGTGTGATGGGGTGCTGTGTGTGTGTGTGTGTGATGGGGTGCTGTGTGTGTGTGTGTGTGATGGGGTCTGTGTGTGTGTGTGTGATGGGGTGCTGTGTGTGTGTGTGTGATGGGGTGCTGTGTGTGTGTGTGTGATGGGGTGCTGTGTGTGTGTGTGTGATGGGGTGCTGTGTGTGTGTGTGTGATGGGGTGCTGTGTGTGTGTGTGTGGGGGTGTGTGTGTGTGTGTGTGTGATGGGGTCTGTGTGTGTGTGTGTGATGGGGTCTGTGTGTGTGTGTGTGTGTGATGGGGTCTGTGTGTGTGTGTGATGGGGTCTGTGTGTGTGTGTGTGATGGGGTCTGTGTGTGTGTGTGTGTGTGATGGGGTGCTGTGTGTGTGTATGATGGGGTGCTGTGTGTGTGTGTGTGTGTGTGATGGGGTGCTGTGTGTGTGTGTGTGTGTGACGGTGTGTGTGTGTGTGTGACGGTGTGTGTGTGTGTGTGTGTGTTAAGATGTGTGTGTGTGATGGGGTGTCGGTTTGGGAGTAGTGGTGAGTGGTGAGTGAGTGAGCGAGTGAGTGAGTGAGGTGGCATTGCAACGACAACAACAACAACAACAACAACGACGACCACCACCACCACCACCACCAACAACAACAACAAGAACCCGAGTCCGAGTCAGTCAGAGTCCGAGTCAGTGTGAGTCAGTGTGTGTCAGTGGGCAGCAGCAGGTCCTGACCTGAGAGTCCTGCTGCGGGTCTCCCTCCTGTTGAGGACCCCGGGCACGCAGTTGGTCAGCTCGGTCCAGTCGGCGTGTAAGCCGCAGCTCCAGCCGGTGGAGAACCGGGAGAAGAGCCAAGTCTCCCGGCGGTTGGGTCGGTAGCAGGTACACTTCTTCTGCCCGGCCCGGCACTCGCACGGCACCTCCAGCTTGACGTTCTGGACCAGGTGCCGCCCGAAGGTGGTGCCGCCGGTCTTCTGGATGTGCAGGAAGACGATCACGTCGTCGCCTTTGATGTCGAAAGCCACCGTCCGCTCCAGGTCGGCGGCCGAGAAGTAGTACTTCTTCACGTAGTGCGGGTCGGCGGTCGGGAAGATGTCCTCCGCCGCCTCGGGCTGGAGGGAAGCCCTGGGTCCCGAGGTCCTGCAGTTGGTGCCCGGGCACACGTACTGGAACACGATGATCATGAAGACCGCGGAGCCGGCGATCACCAGAATGAATTTGTTGGTCCTCTCAACCATGTTCCTTACGGCGAGCTTCATGCGTTACCATCTCACTCCGAGGGGGGTGGTGGGGGGTGGGGGTGGGGGGGCAGTGGGGCTATGGGGAGGGGGTTAGGGGGGGGAGGGGGGTGGGGGTTAGGGGGAGGGGGTTGTTGGGGGTTTTTTTTCCCCCCCAAGTCGCTGCTGATCAGTCCCCCGTAGTGTTGTCGGTGCAGTGAGTGGAGAGAGTTGGCTGTAGTGTTGCTCTCTCTTTCTGTCCCCCTCTTCCTTCCTTCCTTCCTTCCTTTCTTTCTTTCGTTCTCTCTCTCTCACTCTCTCACTCACTCTCTCCCTCCTCTCTCTCCCTCTCACTCACTCACTCACTCACTCCCTCTCACTCACTCTCTCTCTCTCTCCTCTCCCTCTCACTCACTCACTCACTCACTCCCTCCTCCCCCCCCCCCACCCTTTAACACCCCCTTTTCCTTTCCTTTCTCTCTTTCGTTTTCCCCTCTTCCTCTTTAGGCGAAGGGGAATGTAGTGTGAAGACAGTCAGTCAGTCAGTCAGCCCCCCCCCCCCCCTCTCCCTCTCCCTCTCTCCCTCCTCCCGGTGTGACCGGGGCTGTGATGTGCGGCTCACACCGACTGTGGTTGGGAGTGAAACTGTCCAACACCAACACCAGACTGTTGCTGCTGCTGCTGTTGTTGTTGTTGTTGTTGTGTGGACTCAGTGCTGGTTGTCCTCTCCCACTGTGGCCACACAGCCTCATGAGCTCTCCTTGTGTGTGTCTCTGAGTCCTCCTCCTCCTGCACAAGCCCCGACCATCACCAGCACCACCACCATCCTCCTCCTCTCCCTCCCTCTCTCTTTCTTTCTTTCTTTCTCTCCTTCCTTCTCTCTCTCTCTGCAATCTGAGCCCAGCATGCACAGCGACTACACAACATATATCTCTCTCTCTCTCTCTCTCTCCCCTCTCTCTCACACACACACACACACAGCTCCAACCTGATAGGGAAAGAGAGAGATTATATTATATTTTTTTTAAAAAAAGGGGGGAGGTGGGAGGGCTGGAAAGTACGATCAGTTGGGTTGCAGGACACGCCCGCATCAGGGGTTTGCTGGAACTGCACTCAGATCCAATTGCTTTGGGGGGTGGGTGATGGGGGGGGGGAGGGGGTCTATTCTCTACCCTCCCTGGCAATGCTATACTTTTTTTTGGGGGTGCTGGAAGGTGGGGGGGGGGTTTAAGTTTGGCCGTTTTGCCGGACGTTGCTGCGTGCGAATGGGCCGCTGCCTCCGCCCGCAAGACAGCAGAGCCCGCTCGGCGCTTTCTTTTTTTTTCCCGCGCCCACGGATGTGTGCGGTCGATTCGCTTTGACGGGATGTTCTGCGAAGCGCTTGTGAGACGTCCGGAAGACACGTGAAAAGCGCGCTATCAAATGCGAGGATTATTATTGTTGTTGTTGTTGTTGTTGTTTGTCCCAACGCCCCCCTCGCGCAGGTTAGGGTCCCAGAGCGTTCCCGTAAAATTCAGTCGCTACACCAGGCAGCGCAGCAAAATCCTGTGAAGTACTTTGAGATGTCCTCCCGACATGGAAAAACACTATGTCGAATAAGGATTTGATGAAGGGTTATTTATTATTTGAATTGTTGCCAGTTCTGGAGTCTCAATCAAATATATCTCAAAGGCTTTGAAGCAGTTAGATTGTGTCCAAGTTGTGCTTTTTATTTGTAAACTTGGGTGGTAAGTTTGTATGTGTCTATTTTTTTTATGTTCAAAAAAGCAAGCAAAATCCAATGAAACCATTTCATTGCAGAAAACACTCAATAGAAGAGTAATTGGAGGAGAGTGAGAAAGAGGGCGTTGGGTAGGCATTTAACAATAATTTGATTTCATGAACTCATGATTTTATGGAACATCAGAGCATCAACCGTGGCCGGAGACCCTTTTAAAAAATAATAATTCTCCTCTCGGTTTCTCCCCCACTTCTGAGCAGGGAAAACATTCATTGTTTCACAAGCACAAGTCAGTGGACAGTATATCATCTGATTGGTTGTTCCGCCTGAGAAAACCTAGACAGTAAGCATAGAGGGATGCAGTAAACATTATAGCCAAGTTTTTACTCTGTGTCCATACGTTTCCCCTTTCCTGTTTGACATTGGATAGTGATTAGTTGCAAAAGCCCTGATTGATGCTCAACCTCCCGAACTTTGGGGCTTTCAGGTCAAATGTGTTCAAATGCTGCTCTGGTGAAGACCAAACACAGCCTGGGAATCAGACTTGGAACCATTCCTTTCCATACAGCTATCAACATGAGAGTCTGAATTCATCTTTTTATTCACATTAGCATATCAGCTTTGCTTTTTTTAATGTCTCCTCAAACAGTCAATGGGAGACCAGTAACATGTATGGATTTATATGAGCCATTTTCACTTATGATTTGAGTTTAATTAAAACATCAATCCTGAATAAAGTGTTTTTTAAGCTTGATTTTGACTTTTTGTTGAAAAACATTAAAATATTGAAAGGCAATATGCACGATGTGTTTTAGTGCTCATCGACTGCACTGCAAATGTAATTGTGAATGTTTTCGAACAAAAAAAACCTGGTAGCTTGAATGTTCTGACAATGTCAGTGGTACTACATCACTGCTTTTCTTTCATTCATGGGAATGACCTCCATAAATCAGACACACAAGGTGTCAGACAGAGTCAGTGCTGAAATATCCTGCGTACATGTAGAATGTACATCAGTGATACCGAGAATACATATCAAAGGCCACTGGGTCCACTCCGTATGTGTGTGTGTGTGTGATGTCATAAAACTCCTCAGCTGAATTACTGCGTTGTAACTCACTGCTTGTCATGCTTTCATTTTTAAAATGGTTTTTCCTTCTACCTTCTGAGGCTATGCTTGTCTCGCAAACCATTTATAGCTGAGAGATTACGCAGGTAATTTTCTCTCTGAGTTTGAAATGAACCAACCCACAAGGATGTGCACGGAAACCTCCTGGGTTGACTGGATGTCTGATGTTTCCAAGCTCTCTCAACGGCAGCGCTCAATTGCTGCTCTGCTCCTCAGTGCACAGCCTGTGTGAGACTGAGAACAAAGAATACAAGGAATCACTCAGAGGAGTAGAAACTGGTACACCATTTATCCAGGAATTGGAGAAATACTTCTATTTGGATACCTGATTGCGTAAGTTGTATTGCATTATTTCCACACCAAAACTATACACAGCATTTATTAAACTGTATGAAAAGAAATGCAATGTCAGACTGCAATAAAACCTACTTGAGGGAGAAAGAAATGGAGGGGTTGGGAAGGGGATAAGGAGTAGGGAATAGGACCGGTGGAGGCTCAAGAGGAGTATAAACATCCCATGGACTCGATAGGCCAAACAGCCCGCTTCTGTGCTGCAGATTGTATGTAATCTTTTATAAAAGCATTTACACTTTTGTGAAAGAACTTGGCTCCTCATTCTACTTTCAGGTAAGAATACACACAAAGCATACTGAGATGTCCAGGCTTTTCAGATATTCTGACCTATTCGGTCAGTTCAGATGCATTGAATTTCCCAGTGTGCCCAGGGAATGTGCCATTGACTCAACTCATGTACTTTGTTTTAAGGAGAACGGGAGCTCACTTAGAAAACTGTTCATTCTTACGCAGAGAACAACCACCAGTGCAGTAATATCACATACAACAGAATACGTACTGAGGTTGCCGTGTTTTTGATTATATTCATCACCGTTTTGACCTTTTGAAAAGTCACGTCCCAACATCATGTTCAGAAATACTTCAGCTTTAATGTATGAACCATTATTTTAATATCAAGTACGCAAAAGGATGATCGGTTTGGCTGTGTTTGGAGTTATATACCTTTCATTGCTTTATTACCAAATTGTTGCAACTTTTGCTAATATGTAGCTAGCTTTTTTTAAAAAAAATAAACAAACAGTGGCTTGTGTGAAGTCACTGCAACTGGTCCCAGTGTTCGCAGAAGCTGAATGTTGACCAGTGTTGCCAGGTCTTGACTGGAATCTAGTTATCCCTGCTGTAAGTGCAAATAGGTGATTGTCGGGAGACTTCAGGATCAGGCTTTGCTTTGATGCTCTCCATAGTTCCACACCTCACTAGCACTCACTTTCCAGGCTCACAAATCAGGATAATCACGAGGTTACAATGGAATTGTACCCCAATGTGATTGACCAGGAGAGAGTAGACAAGTAAGAAGAGAAGATCAGTGGTAAAACTGCAGGAGGAGAAAAAGAAACACAATATGAAGTTAAAAGGCCATTTTTGCCTGTAAAAAATAGCTTACTGAATAGTTAATTGGGTGTGTAAACGGAAGAGTGTAAGTCACAACTCCAAGATAAGAATGATCAAGAAAGAAAATGCATCGCAAAGATACCCACTGGAGTAGTTCCAGCCTTTGCACATCTATTTCTGACAGCCATTTCTTAGGATTTCCCACCGCAGGCAGCAATGACCTGTCCAAGGAACTCAGGCTCCAGGGAAGTTCCACAATACGGTGGCAACACCCCTTAAGATGGTAACACTCATTAAAATGCATTGTTAATTATTACCCAGTTGCTGTTTGTTATACTAATTTAAGCGCACAATTAAAATGCCAATCTGTAAGGGCTTTGCTTGAACAAAGCAGTGCTGATCTCTAAGCTGAGCACCAGCACAGCCCGCAAACATCCAGTGAGATAGTCCTTCAATCTTATTGTGTGATTTATTTAGGAATATGTTTATCTTCTGATGAAATTGACACATGTTTGACAGGAAGTAACTCTTTTGTGACACCAAATGATAAAGGTTTCTCATACTGTTTACTTTGTATCACTCATAGCCCACTAATGCCTGCTGATTTCATGGTGACTTAAACAAAGATCTCTTTAATTGGTTCTTATTCAAAACTAAGTGTGCAGTAATGTTAAACTTGGCTGAAATAGCATCTTCATGGTACGGTGTGATTTTATACCAATGCACTGATATGGGAAAATGTGTCTTCCAGATTGCCATTTCTCAACCCAAGAGTTCCAGAGCTCAGTAATGCAGAGAG